CCCCCCCCCCCCCCCCCCCCAAGGCAAATTTGGCCCTCTTAAAACATTAAAATCATCAAAGTTTCATGACAGTATGCAGTATTGCAGACTCTGTATCAATGTTCCCTCTAATTTTTCAAGTGTCTGGGCAAACATACAAGATCCGTGAGCGCACTGAGGACCATTATGAGCAACATCAGATGTGCACGCTGTGGTCACACCTGTTCAAAACCTGGGATCATAGCAAGTTACATGGCTTATTAAAATAATCAAATTACAGCAGCAATTTCCATTGGTTTACTTTTAATATAAGTTATATGGCCCACTTCAAATGAAAAACACATTAATCTTGTTGTTCATGAGATGTGTAGTATGTTTAATGTGAGAGTCCTGCTTTGGTCTGGGTGAGGGTCCTGCTCTGGAAGATGGTGAGCAACATGGTGGCCATTGGTGTCAAAAGAATATTTGTAATGTGTGTGTGTGTGTGTGTGTGTGGGGGGGGGGGGGGTATGTGTGGAAATGACACACACTAGAGTGTGTGTGTGGGTGGGGGGGGGGGGGGGCTGTTGGTTCTCCCCCAGAAAATTTTGAATAAAGTAGATGCCATTTCCTGCATTCTAGTTTATTTTAACGGTTGTTAAACATCTGTGTTTACCTACATAAGTAACACTTGATTCAACAACTATTTTAGAGTTAATGGCACAACAAGAAGTAGCCTGACCAACAGCTCTCCTTGTGTGAATAGAGCAAACTCCGCTTCTCTCACGCATCCTAGTCACAGTCTAAAGCAACATAGTGCAGCCTAAGTTAAGTTTTAGGGGAAAAAAATCACCAGCCAATATCAAATAATAATAATCACTCGTTCTTACTAATGATCTAACATAAAGCAATATGATCATCAGCCATCATGTTTATTAGTAGCTTAAAATGCATGTCCAAACCACTCTCTCTCCTCATGGACATGTTCAAACCACTGTCCCTCCTCTGGACTTGTCCAAACCATCTCAGTCTGGTCTCCCTAACTTTATCTCCCAGTTGTTTAACCTGTGTTGTACCTCTGATGATCTCATTCCTAATCTTATCCATCCTTGTCACTCCTAAGGAGAACCTCAACATCTTCATTTCTGTCACTTCCAGTTCTGTCTCCTGTCTTTTTGTCCATGTCTCTGTCTCCAGATCACACGACATAGCTGGCCTCACCACTGTTTGCAAACTTTTCAGTGCTTCCCCTACCATTATACAAGCGGGGCGCCCCATTTACCGAACCCCCCACCACACACACACACCTGTCGGCACTGACATAATACTAAAGCAGTGGCTCGTAATACAGGTGCACAAGCTAAAAAGCTAAAGGCAGCCTATTCTCTCACGCTGACCCCCCCCACCACCACCACCACTCCGCCCCTAAAACTGAGGGTACAAGCGGCGTGACTGAGATATGTGTCTGTCTCTCTCCTCTCCCAGCCCTGCTCTAAAGCTGTAAAACGAAAGTTACAGCTGTAACTACAGTTCTATGAATCCCACATGACTGCCAGATGCGGTACTTAAAGCACTGAATGATCATTCTTGCGCATGTGCAGGTCGAGAATTTATGCTAACATAGTCACGTGTGACACCCGGGACACTGGTGAGTCTATATAAGCATGTGACAACGGTAGCCCAGTCCCTTAATCTTCTCGTGAAACGCAATGATTCTGAGGGACCGAGCGCTCTGGCAGTCATCTGGGATTCATAGAACCGTAGTTACAGCTGTAACTTTTGTTCTATTTCATCCCTACTGACCGCCAGAGGCGGTGCTTAAAGCACTGGATGATGACTGCCAACAGAGTCCTGAGGAATCACACCCACAAGAAGAAACAAAATTTAAGTGTGCCCACCTTACTGAGACGAAGATGGGTGCTGTGATAGGATCCCATCCAACAGGTGAAAGGCAGCCAGGTTTACCCTGTAGAACCTGGCAAAGGTATTTGGGGATGACTAGGAGGCTGCTGCACATATCGCCTCCAGAGTGACCCCATTCATAGCAGTCCATGACACGCTAACGCTCCTGGTGGAATGGCATCATACTCCTACAGGTGGCTGGCGGCCTTGCAGAGTGTACGCCTGTTCCACTACGTCCACAATCCAGCGCGCAAGGCGCTGCTTTGAAAGGGCCTGCCCTTTGCGAGGCCCTGCATAGCAAATGAACATATGAACAGACAGCCGCAGAGAAGCTGACCGTCTGATGTACACTTCCAGTGCCCAAACAGGGCAGAGAGGCTCGTCAGCACCATCTGCATCGAAGCGAGCAAGCTGGAGAGGCAGAGAGTGGGTCGCAGATGAGGCCACCTTAGGGAGGAACGTTACGTTAGGCCAGAGAGTAACACCCGAACCAGCCGGGTTCCAACAGCAACAGTGCTCGTGAACAGACAGCGCATGTAGTTCACCTACTCGTCTGGCCAAAGCCATGGCCAGGAGAAATGCGGTCTTCTTAGACAAGCACTCAAGGCTCATGTCCGTCAAGGGCTCAAACGGAGCAGACCGCAGGGCAGCAAGGACCAGAGAGAGATCCCAAACAAGCACGACGAGGCGTGTGGGGGGATGCAGATGTCTGGTGCCTCTCAGAAACAAGGACGCATCCTTGTTACGACCTACTGTCTCTCCACCCACCACCGTATGCCAGTAACATAAAATTTCAGGGTGGATGGAGACCGGCCCTGAGAAAGTAGCGCCTGAAGGAAAGTAAGAATAACAGAAAG